CTCAGCAGATACACAGTGGTAAAGCTTACTCGAAACTACTTTTGATTCAGGTCATTTTTATTTAATTTGCATCTTGTTGGATTGGTTCATTGTTGTTTTGTTTTTGTTTCGACTTTTAGTACGACTAATCTTGGTTGAGTAGCCACTGGAGGACTAATTGTTGGACTTTGGAAACACAATGATCATTTCCGCACGGTATTGATCGTGTGACAAACCCGATGCACAACAGCAAGGGATAAATTTTCGTTGCGACAGTGTTATCACACGCAACTTCCATGCGATGTGTCTAGAGTTCAAACCCCGAACGGGACGGTGGCTGTGCACTACTGATGAGCTCTAATAAGATCGAAATCTTACTTAACCCTTTCCCGTATTACCTTGCGAATACATACCTATCCTCACCAGAGCACTGGATCTGTGAAATTATAACACTACTAGTACTCGCGTCCTAGCTGATGCTGCTATTCGGACACGGATTGATATCGAATTTGTCTGAGTGTGAAATAACTCTTCACTAGATTCCAGTTATCCTATCAAATCAAGTGATCGAACCCGGATCTTCAAACCGAATGTGTGCTGTTTATATACGGTGTGAGTTAGGTTCATTCGCACGTGGGTCTTGCTGGCTACAAAACCATCATCTTGATAGAGCTTGGTAGAGTCTCCCTCGCACCGGAAGCGCATACATACATCAAATAAACTGTTCTTTTCTTGTTCACATCACCCGTGTGATTCTTTGGTTAATCTGTCTCACTCTCTCTCTCTCACACACACACACTCTTCACTTAAAACACTTAAAAGAATAACTGGAACGACTTTCATTGGCTGATAGCAATCGTTTCAGCAAACTGTAGCATTTTTGCGATTTGTGACTTGTAGATAATCCGAATGGCTGTGATTCGGTCGATCTATAGTGTTGCGTCATCAGAAGATATCGAACTATGACTGATGACGGAACGGAGTCTTGTAGTTACGACCTTTGTGTTATGGTATGCTTGTTTATCCTTACCTTGGTGATATAGTCCGTCCTTCCCCTTTTATGTTTTTCCCTTTCATTGTATTTTACTTTTCTTTTTTGCTATTCTACATCCCTATATATTTATTTTGTGTTTTCTGCCGTATGCACGCCATGTTGAGATGCAGTGAAATCGTCAATACCTGTATGGTCTTTTCTTATGAAATTAATCTCGGGAAAGCCTTGCTTCAGTTCACTGGAGAGCTTCCGAACACCCAACGATCAAGTCAGTAGTAGCTTTATGCACCCGGATGGATTGATTTTTAGCATTAAAATTTACAAAATCATTACATAATAAAACAGAAAGTAGTAGACTGTCTGCCAATGAAGCAAGCAGTGCGCATTTCTTTGGAAACTTTCTACCTGTCAATATGTAGGTGTGCTAGATATAGCGATGCTGTATTACGATAAGCAGAGGTAAGTGCAATTAAAAGAATAAATCTTGTGGGTGTGGATGATGCATATACAGATTTGGAAAATTCTTTGTGTAATGGGTAGTGAGTGTCTGAGAGTATTTTCACAGTGAAATTTTCACATATTTATAAGTGTCCGTCTATGGTAGAATCCACGAGTTTATCCCTGACGATCCCACTAAAATTAGAGATGTGCTTCAGAGATCTTGCCAGTAAATAAAAGTCTTTCTTCAACATGCCGGGAAAAACCACTGGGGAGCAATACAACCAGTGGGGGAGCACGCATGCATTCACAAACCTAACAACCAGCTTGTGGGGAACGGAAATTGGTCTCAATCGAAGTGAGAAATATTAAAGCTTTCACAGAATGTGTTTTGAACATGCAGTGACCATGATAAATTGTGTGTTAAAGTGACGCCAAGGTATTTTACCATTGTTGATTTCGGTACAGGTTGTTGATTGACAGTGAGGATGGGTATCCTATCTGAATATGGTATATCAGCCGAGAGGAAAAAGACAACATCCTGACATTTAAAGGCATTCACTGAGAGGGAACGGGACAGGGACCAAATAACAACGTCATTTATATTGCTTTGAGTTTCTGAAGCCTCTCTTTGATCACTGCAACCGGAATTCGTACACCGAAGTCGACAAAACCGACCGCAAAATTGCACGCATGACACGGATAAACAATGAGACTTCAGTTTAACTTTGAAAAACCGATACCTAAATGGTGAATAGGAATCCCTGCATTCATCCGTTTGGAGGTGAATAGTGAAATTCGGCGATTCTTTTTCTTTCATAACGGCAAATCTCACAGGAAAGGAATGCGTAAAAGGTGCTAAAGAAACATCCAGATTGGATAAATTTTCTACTGCACACAAAACAACCTTGAATAGCGAATTTTTGGTTTTTGAATTCCCTAAAATGACATAACGGTTCTCCCCAGTTGCTCTGAAAAGGGGAGAATTGATCAAGCTAACTGATCTTCCTGCGTATGGGTTTTAACATCATATCGTCATGGTATGCCCAGTGTGGTGAGTCGCTTTGTCAACGATGAACGTCTGCTGACGGTCTGATTTACAGTAGTATACTTTGAATAGAAAACGAACCAATAGTTTCCATCTCAGGGTAACGTTTGTGAAACGATACCTGATTCTCTTATTCAGGAAGTGTTCAGAGTACATAAAAGCCTAGCTAAAGTTTAAAAGCTGTTCCCAAATTACCCTCTACCACATGATTGTGAAGGTCGTGTGTATTCGAATCTCACCGCCACCACCACCACAAGCTTCACGCCAATTTTATTCCGTGTAAATCGTTGAATCTGAATCAGAGTTAACTGTCCCATACCCGATCCGACAGAAGGAAAGAAAATCTGATTCGAAAACGATTATTTCATGTGATTTCACTCTCACATCAATACAGTTCGATCTAATCAAGTTTACATGTTCGAAGACAGTCGGGTGGACGATATGCTCAATGTTTCGGTCTCAAGCAACCGAACGCAACGAACCTGAGCGTTAAATACTACAACTAGTACTGTGTGATATGTATTTGCGCGGTACACACAAAGATAATTTACCCATCTATGTACGGCTTATATAAATCGCCAGAACAATCAGCTACATCATGTAAAATTATGTAAAAGTTCTTACACAAAACCCAGTCACGTTGCTTCAGAAAGGGTAATGTCAAGCGAGTGAGACATCAGCTCAATCGAATCGGAATACCCGATGAACTGAACTGAACTGTTTTTGATTGATTTGACTGACTTCTGACTTCACCTTCACGCACAATCCTCAGTTCATCGATTCAACCATACAGTCGGAAGCACTAGACTCGAGCTCATCAGTCATGTCCAGGATTTGAATTCCGGATCCATCGCATGGAAGGCGTGTGCGTTGCCACTGCGCCTACCAGCTCATGCCCTGGCTGAACCAAATTGCCAATTCATGTTTGTTCAGGTGCTGTCTTCAATGATAGTCAGTCAGTTCTGTTTTTATTATTATTATTATTTATTACGTCTTTCGGGGACGAGATGACAGGTTTGGGGATTAAAATACGTGTGACGGACATGCATTTCTACGCCCAGCTCACCTTTGCAGGCACTTGTGACAAAATCTCACCGACAGCACCTTTCTGCCTGATCAGCTGTCCAGCCAACTGACCGTATCTAATCGAATGAATATGTTTGTGGCAGAGCGTACTATGCTTGATCGGATCAATATATGATCACGTGCAACGATAGTAGTCAGTTCAAATCCATCAACCGTGATTATAACGACTTGCCAAAACTCCTACTTGTTTCAATAGCCAGGATATCCGGTAAGTGAATGAATATGGCTAAAAATGAGGTATACTTATTGATGAAGTAACTTTTTTAGATGCGAGATGAGTGATCTGATCGGAGGTTACTCACTGTTTAAAATCTAACACAGTATTTCGAGTAGTTAGAGTCAATCGAGTGCATACTGACAGAAAACGTACGGACCATTTTATCACATTTGGCGTTCCAATTTCACTTCCCTGTGTTCATTCAGCTTTAGTTTCAGCGGGATGCCGTCTGCTGCTGATGATGATGGTACTGATAGCATCGACGTCAGCAAGCGAAAATGCCTCATTCCAGTTTGGATCTAAACGCTGGAATGACATTTACGGTCAGTCATTATGTGATGGAAGGTAGTTCAAAGAGAGTCCTGGTTAGCGACCGAATCAAGAATGGGCCCATCCGACCAGACGCGCAGACGCAGCGGCGGGAAGTGCCTCGCGAGACAATGTTGACTGGCACCCGAAACGAGCGAATCGACAATTACAGCACGACAGACAATCCGCAGCTAACGGGAAAGATACCCATCGAATGCCACAACGTCGGAGCTGTCGATCAACGCATCTTGCGCCGCGATCGGGTCAAACCAGTCGGAATGGCACGCGAAAGAAGAGGCAACGTGCGTGCCAAGTGCGGACCAAGACCAACAAGGAATGACCCACAGAAAGAGGCACGAATCATCCCGCCGCGCATACACTATTTGTTTTTGAATTGGATCAATAGACGTTTTCCCAGCCAGCTCGCTTTCTCGTTACAATTAGATGCGTACGAAATGAGGTTGAACCCAGGATCATCGATGATAGGCGAACTCGAAAATAATTCAGCGCTGTATAGGCCTCATCCCAAGTGGCTCCCCGTCCACAGGTTGTGTTTCGCTGAGCAATTTGATACTGTCACAAATCCTAGGTGACAAAGCTCATAAGTAGGCTATTTCGTGTTTCATATACGATCTAATCTGAACGGAAACGTAAATCGCCCACATATTTGAATACCGGTATACACTACTCATGAGTAAGCAAAAGGCAGATCGCAGTGTTCGGTAGTGTACTAGGAATGCCATGATGTGAAATAAATTAAGCACTTCCAAATCCGGGATCTTCAAATTTGCGAGAAGAACACGATGAAGAAAATATCACGATGAAATGCTGACACACAAACACAAACACATGCACAGATTGACAAAAACAAAGAATACATCTCGGGGGGTTTGCAAACTAGTTGACAACAGCTTGCGCGATTGGCTCCAGTTCGATCAGGTCCTCGGGTTCGACTTCCGGTTCCGGAGGAGTAAAATATTGTTTTGTATCTTTCGGCTCACCGATGCGAATGAACTTTAGTACAGCCACCGAATCGCCAGCTTTCATTCGCTGTGAATGTTAAGACAATTAAAGACATACTGTTTAGCCAAATACAATTTCATGCGATATGATCGAAACGTCGGAATAATGAGTTTCAACGGTTGGTCCAGAACAATCGATATTACTAATTACCAATTATGCATAATGCACTGTTAATTGAAAACGTGGGTTCAATAATAAATTGAAGAGAGAAAAGTTGTTAATTAATATCACCCAGATCAATTTTGTTGTTGGCGCAGTTGTTTAGTTGCTGTCACAGGCGTGCTTTGGACCCTATGGTCCGAGGTTCGAGTCCCGTCATTGCCAACCAGCTTTGGTGGTAGGCAGCTTTGCTGTCGTCTGGTTCAATACCACGCCTAACCTATCGGGACCTTATGCGGTTCGCCACTCCAAGTTCTGGTGCTTAGGTTGCCGATTTCCACCACTAAAAGCGGCAGGTCCTAGTGACTATGGGTTTCACTTCGTCGGCTGTTCATCACACCAAAGTGTGTAATTAAAAAAATGGTGTAATCCAGCCCCCTTTGAAAATAGGAACGCCAAAAAATTCATGGCGAATACGCGAACACAGTAAAGTGCGTAATGTACCTCACTAAAACTTCATTAATTTAAATCTACTCGCAATCCTATCCTTTCGGATACAATTTTATTGTCTCGATCCGTTTGGGAGAAAACGGATCAGCAAAAGAATGAAATATAAAATGTGACTGAACGAGGTGAACAGACATGTAAGCCTGTGGATCTTCAGTTGCTTTTGTTGTTTGCGGTTTCTGATACCAAACCAAGCAATAATGATGATAATAATCATAATCATAATGTGATCCGAGTCACGTTCAGGCAGCAAAGGTTTCGGTGCATTTCATCCGAGTTGCAACAAGGGATGAAATAGCTGGCCAGTATTTTTTATCAATCCTTACGAAAACCTCTTGTAAGAATTCAGATTAGTTGGCATCTCTAGCGCGCCGCGCAGTATTCACAGTTGCGGCCCCACACTAGGAACAATAACTGGGAAACGAGGCATGGATAAATGATAGAATAGATGTCTCCCATCTTCCAGTTTGGGGTCCAAAAGACACTTTTAACTGGTTGGTTAGAGACATTGCAGGATATGACAACTAATTAACAACAGTAGTGTTCTTGTTGTCATTTCTAATCAGATCAGAATGCTTGCAAGGGTTTGTATACACGCTTAGATCGTGTACTCTGGATGTTGACCCTCCAATGAGGCCCAATAGATCCCGTGGAAATTTGAATATTCTCATGATGTTGTGAATGTTACAATTTTAATAACACAGCAATGTCGTAGAGAATGATATTTGATTGTAAACCTGCCTCGAGAAAGGTTAACCATGGTAACCGAATATAATTCTAATCGCTGTGTTATTAACATTATAACATTCACAATAAACACAACACATGGCGCATCGATTTTTCGATACACTCCTAACACTATTTGATTCTCATGATAGTATTGAGAAAATGAATCGGTGAGCAAGCGACAATTCAAGGCTATTCCTAGTCATTTTCTAGCATATCGTGGGAACATGCTCACCTGTTGACAGCCATCGGATTACATTAGCCGGAAGTCTAAACAGTCAAAACATCGGATTTGGTTAAACATGTATTGGATTCAGTAAAACTCAGTCCCCTGCACTCATGAACTGCCGTGATAGAGGGGGATAATAAAAAAATCAAACCAAATAGTGTATAAACAACTGCAGTTAATTCATTAGAAAGAAGAAAAGACGAATACTATATGAGAGCCCGACATATCTACTAGTATTCTCAGTTGATACGATGTAGGGGAATTTAATAGAAAAAAATTGTTTAGCAATCAACAGTCGGGTGAGGGTTGATTAGCATCACTTCGCTGCGACCTGAGAGCCTGAGATTCGTGCTACGTAGCAACGGCTTGAAGGACAAGTTGTGGGTCAACGATGTGCCCTTCTGTTATGCGATGTTTTACAGTTGATATCTATCAGAATGACCTCTGAGATTTTGTTGACTGTAGCAACCGATTGGGAACGTGTTCAGACATCCCTTGTCACAGGGGTCGATGAGTTTTCCCGATCTGAGTGTCACCGTAACTTCGGATGAACTGATG